GGGTCAACATATGGTAGCATATGGCAGTCCTCGGCTTTTCCTTACATTTAGGTAGCTCGGAAAGCCGCAAACCTCTTGAACAAAAGTTTATCTTTCAGATCGGCACTCTTAATACCATCAATGAACGGTTTTCATTCTGCTAGTTTATTCTGTTTCTTTTCTCGTCACCATATTCGCTCCAATAGCGTAGCTCCACTTTCTGCATACAAACACACACATAACCCACAACTCCTCCATTGCTCTGACAAAGGGCTAACGCAAGAAAAGTCAGCTTTGAAACTCTTTACGTTGGCCGATTTACATTATCAACTTAGTTGATAAAACCACATTACCCTCTTACCCCCACCGATGCTGCATCACAGTTTCTTTAGAAACTTAACCCTTTCACCCATTCTACCTTCCGACTGGTCATGCTTAAAAAGATTGTAAATTATATAAATAAGTTGTTTTCTGATTGGTTCTCATAAAACTAGATGGATAAAGGAAGTGAAGTTGTTTTTCTACAAATCTGAAACAAAATTCGTTCATAACTGTGGCCTTTTTATTGCTCTAAGCTATTTGTACAAGCTCTGTTCTCTGCATACACTTTAAGCCTTAAACTGTCACGCGCTGCCTCGTCCACAGGGTCCTCTCTTCTTTCCGCGCGAAAGGACCCTAGGAACGAAGTTGCAGTCCCCTGATGCAAGCGGTTCATTTCGATGAAGTCAATTTGAAGAACTTCGCCATCGCCTGTAAACAAATCCATTTGAAACTACAGCACCGAAATGCTAGTTTACAGTATAATAAATAGCTGCTACACATTTAACTCGAGAAGTAGTCTAAGCCATCTTTAGATACTCTTTAACAAAGGCCTACACAACACGATAAATAATACACTCGAATTTCTCCCCCCCACCACAAATCAAGGTGATATTCCTTATCACAACATACAGCAATTATGGAGACTGCGCATGCGCGACCTGCTTCCTCCAAAACAGATCTGCTATCAGTCGTGAGTCAGTCGTGTCAATGGTAGCAAAACATAGCCTCGAAACTAAACATTTTTGTCTGACAAAAAACCTTGAAGGAAGACCGAAAAAGCTGATGTTTCATCGTATTATCCTTTCATTTTACTTCAACTCCGTTATTCTTGGGCAGTTTTACCGGTGAATTGGTAAATTACAGATTCTTGGGCTGTCTCGCCTTCCGTCAAACGAACCTCGGTGCGACTTCTTAACTCCAGCCTCTCATTTTCCTCTTCTGCATTATCTGCAACAGAGAGAATAGCCGCGATAGTTCAGAAGGACTGGGACAAACAACCATAGCTTATCATTTCCAAACAGTTCGCATAGGCGTTACGAAGACCAAGTTTGGTTGCGATCCCCGTTTGTGAAAAGTTCTCGAGTGGTTTCCGAAGAAACAATGGTCGCGCGTTGTCCCAAGGGGGTCGTTGTCCCAAGGGGGTCGCCAAATTGAGCTAACCGCCTCCCGGTTAGCTCAATTGGTAGAGCGCCGGACTGTTGTGCGGGAGGTCGTGAGTTCAAATCCGGCCGGACCAACACTCAGGGTCTTTAATTAACTGAGAAGAAAGTGCTACCTTTGTAATAATATCTGCAAATGGTTGGACTTTCTAGTCTTCTCGGATTGGGACGATAAATGGAGGTCCCGCCTCCTGCAGGGTTGGGGTAGGAGACGTTAATTTCCCACACACGAGATTACTGAGTGATGGATGTCCTCCCCGGGGTGCGATGGGTGGGTAAAGAGGGGGTTAGGTGTCAATTGGAACGAAAGTTCTGTTCCTTTCTCCTGCCATTCCTGTGGCGAATGAATTTAACTTAAACTTAAAACTTAAAGTTATCACGGAATGAAGTCTCAAAAAATTTCCGGCTGTTTCCGAAGAAACTTGATTAGAGTCACTTGTTCCGAAAACCTTAACCCTCAACGAGACAAGACGAAAAGGAATCATCCTCGTACTGAATTACCACTTTCGATACCAAGGTTACTGATGAAACAAATAAGTAAATAAATAATTAAATAAATAAAGCTTTTAAGTTGTGCAGTAGATAAGTCTGTGAGAAGGTTATATACCTGTGGCTGGGGTTCCACGCGATGGCGCATAGAGGAAGACCAGTGCAAATACGTACGTTTTCCACATGCCATAAATTCCAGTGAACAGTGCACCTGCGAAAAAAGAAAAATGTTTTTTAAAAAAAAAGACGTATCCAAGAGCGAGCCAACAAGTACGACTGCATAAAAGAGCGAAGGATCTAAGGGACGAGCGAACGAACGAACGAACGAACGACCGACCGACGAAATAAAACAAAGAGACGGACGAACTAATGATAGATTAAGGGACCAATAAATGAACAAGGACGAAAGGGCTGCCGATACACTGGGGGACGCAAGAACGAACAGATCCGAACAAACGAACGAATACTAAGAGCGAACAACGACGAAAGAACAAAGGAACGACTAACTGCCGACAGACTGAGGAACGAAAGAACGAACGAAGACGAACAAATCCGAACAAACGAAAGAACGAACGAATACGAATAGCGAACAACGACGAAAGAACAAAGGAACGACTAACTGCCGACAGACTGAGGAACGAAAGAACGAACGAAGATGAACCGACGAATAACAAAAGCGACCTACTAAAGTAATATATGAAACATTTAAGGGTGTGGGACAAATAGAAAAAATCTGAGATTCCTAGTGAAGTCTACACCATTGCCACAAATTTATTTTTTACTGGATAAAAGTAAATGGGCTGCTTAACACTTGATTATAATCTGATTTCGCGCTTCCTCATGCTCAATTAGTCAGTCTGCACATGTTTCCCTTCCAGTAAATTTAGCTCTTACTTGAAAGTTCGACCGTGGATTCTTCTTCTCCAAATTTCCACTGAGCTTCGTTCACGTTGTTAATTATGAAGAAAACCACAGTGAGCCCAGCGCACAGGACAGTCACAACCATCAGGAACTCAAAACGGTAGATCAACCCCTGCAAATAAAAGTATAATATTGAGTAACATTTTCAGAGCTACTTACTCGTAATATAGCTCCTATCAAGGATGAAAACCATAAAGTAAGGGAATCTCGAATGGGGGTGACATCTAAGTGATTGCTGATATGTGAAACTCAGCTCTTGACAACACTCCACGACTATTCACAACCTTTGACATCTTCCCTCCACTCTCGTGCATCGTCAACAGTTGTCGTTAACTCCCGTCACATATCGACAACTGTCGTGTACTGTCGACATTTTTCGACCAGTCTCGTCTACTCTCTAGAACTCTCCTCAACGGTCTACTACT